GGCCCCCCCCCCCCCCTCGTCGCAACCTATCTGTGGATCCTTCCTTTGAGCGTATGCATACATACCTCATCACACAGGGAACGTTATCCCTCCCACACTATTTTCAGACGCCCCGGTTGTCACATCCTCTTCCTTTCATTAGGAAAGGGGGTCCTGTTTGAGTGCAACTCATCGCACGGGGTCCCATCATGATCATATCTCCTGTAGGTCGGGTCCTGTGAGCGCGCTTCATCATCACGCGGGTGATCGTATCACACCCCATTGCTTTCACACACCGTAGTTCTCACCTGCCTTTTGCGATCTGTCAAGATGTTTTTTCATACGAAAGGACGCTGAGAAGAATATCATACTACAGTACCCCACATGCATGCAACGCACAATATTCCACACCAACTGTGTGACGACCTATCTTCTTCACTCCAAAAAATGTCATCGCACGGAAGTGGTAATCTCATGCTAGTAGTAAGTTTGGATCTGGCCCCTGCGTGCAGGCGGACAGAGACCCTGACTGCGCCGTGTAGCAGGCGAGGAAACACGGGAAAATAGTAACGAAAGAAAAGAACTGAGGTGCAGTCCGAGCCCTCAACCATCATCAGTGTGGTGGTACGATGATGTGGTATGCATACATCCATACGTTGAACCAGACAAGACAACAAGGCGACGCATAGAAAAATGGGTGGTTTTGGCAAATCGCGGACGTATTTTCCTGCGCGGACCGCTTATCTGCGTGTGTTACAAAGCCTTCAATCTCACATGTATACCAACAATCACAATCAGGGGGGGGCAGCAGAAGTTTCGTACTGGAGTTACCATCACGGGGGGGCAGCAGAAGTTTCGTACTGGAGTTACCAAGACTCAGAAATGCAGGAGATTGCAGAGACAGAGGCGTTGAAATCTGAGTTTTGTGAGGAGCGGAAGATGAAATATCTGTTGGCCAATCAGAGAGCAGCGGCATGGAGTCAGCATGAAGTGTCTGAAACCTGACTAGAAGAACAGACTTGGGGGCACTTGTTGGTCTGCCCCAAGGAAGCACGAGGAAGGCTGCTGCAGCCAAGAGGTATTTCGGAGGAGATCTATTTCAGGGGATCGTACGGGTCGTGTGGCGCGGGCGTCTGGGGGCATTCACCTATCGGCTGAAACTGGACGTTTGAATCGTGTTGGCTCTCGGTTGCATCACATTGGGCCATGTCTTCCGAGCACAAGTCGCCGGAGACGGAGGAACGCCTTGGTGTCATTCGCCATGAAGGCACTACTGGCGGTCAGGCCGAGTCGGCGTTGGGGACGGGAGGGGGTGCGTCTCTCCCGCCGCCGTCTCAGGTCGTGGCGGGCGCTACTGCGGCGGCCGCGATGACTGCCGCAGGTGGAGTGGATTCAACAGCAGGCGACGTGGCTTCAACAACGCAATCCTCCGCAGATGTTGGTGCTGCAGAGAGCAGTGGGCTTCCGACTCAGGGTCACGCTCGGGCCTCGGCTTCCGGCGGTGACCGCCAGCCGGAGCCCCGGCGTGCGGATGACCCAGTCCAGGCTCACAGTGTCGCGTTTGGCCCATATGTCGGTGGGTTCGGTGGGGGAGGGGGAGCCTAGCGAGGGCACCCCGCTCGCGTCTGAGAATGCGCGTGGGCCCGGGGAGTCGGGAGGCCTCGGTATGGTGCCGGTGCGGTCGCCGTGGGGCAGGGGCGCGGGCGGGGGGGCAAGTGCGCCCGCAAGGTCCAACGCCAAAGAGGAGGCGAGGAGGGAGGCCACCATTTGGCAAGCCAAACATAATCAGACACTGTGGGTACTTCGGGGGCAGCGGGGGCCGGAGCCCGGGCCACAAAAGGAGGACCTGCAGGGTTTGATGGGCGATATCATTCAACTCACCGGCGACGTCCTCGCCCAGATGCGTGCGTTTTCGGCTTTCAATGTCAAGAGCTTCCGGCCCGCGGGGGTCGCCCGCACGTCGTCTATTGCAGACAACTTCGACGTAACGTGTGAGGCGGTGATGCGGCTGTTGAAGCTTGGCCTCGATTCGTCCACGACCGCGGGTGCGCAATCGTTGCAGCGGTTGGAACCTATCGCCACAGCCATGGCGGACGCGCGGTCCAGCTTTCGGACTACTCTCGTGCGGAACTGTGATGTGTTTCCGGACGAGTACCAGCGGGTGGCACTGCCGCGGTTGCCGAACGAGGACTTCAAATTGTGGACAACGGCAATCATCACCTGGATGTACCCCTTCACGAAGATGCATTCTCCGCCGGATGCGTTCGACGGCCACACCTTGCCGCCGGTGCCCGAGTTCTCCAACATCACGAACTTTTGTGAACGGGGGGCGAACCTATTCCGGCTGATCCTGAGTGAAGGGGGATCCATCCCCGGGACAGGAGGGTCGCGGGGCGGGAGCGGCAAGCGTAAGGCGGGCCAACTGGACCGGAGTGATTCATCGTCACGGAAGCGCGTCTCGAGGGAGTGCTTGCAGTTCCGCGACTCTGGCACGTGCACTTTCGGCGACATATGCAGGTTTGAGCACGTCAAGCGCCGAGACTCGTCTACCGGAAGTGGCGGTGGTGGGGGCGGGAGTCGTGGTGGAGGGGGGCGCTCGTCTGTTGGTGGTCAGGGGGACGGCGTCTCCCGTGGAGGAGGACAGGCTGACGGTGGCGACGGTGGCGGCTCGTCGTCGGCCGTGGTGGTGCGGGGTGGCAGCAACTAGGGGTGCGGGCTCCGCCAGCTGGCGGGGCCAACTCCTGTGTCGACCCAGCTGAGAGGCCGCAACAGCAGCCAGGTCATAGGGAGATGGCGTCCCGGGCCTTGGCCGTCGTGGGGATTCGAGGCGAGCGCTGCGAGGGCTTGCCCGGAGTGGCTTCCGACTTGGAATCAGGTACGAGGCCAAGTTTTGAACAGGTTTCGCCGTGTGAGGTTGAAGATTGGCGTGTGGCTTTGTCTGCGTTGGCTGAGTGTGAAGCTGCAGAACGGTATGTCCATCTTCACCATGTGGCGCATGTGGGTTCAAACTTGCTTCGACGGTGTGGGGGACGCGTGGAAAGGTTCGTCGCCGCTGTTGGCAAGAAGTTATTTCTGCCCCATGCCGATGTGATGCGTGTCAAGGCACATTTTGGGAATGTGAAAAAGTTTCCCCGAGTTGATCAACTTCTGAGATCGTTGTCTCCGGGTGTGCCGGTTGACGTGGGCTCAGGTGGGAACCTCGACGCCGAAGTGGCGTACGGCAACCATCCTAGCGCGTTGCTGCACAGAGATCGGATCGCAGACAAAGTTGTATCGGACGTGATATTGGGGAGTGCGCTGATGTTTGATGTTCAGTTTATCCGAGAAATCCTAGGAATCAGAGTGTCGCCGTTTGGCGTAATCGACGAACCGAAGTTCAGAATTATTCACGATCTCACTTTCACCTCTGGCGTGCCAATCCGTACGAGCGTAAATCACGATACGGACTTCGATCAAGCACCTGAATGCCTCTTGGGTCATGTGTTGAGTGACATTCTGAAGCGGGTGCCGTATTTGCGACAAGTACACGGGGTGTCGTTGGGAATTCTGATCTGCCGCATTATTGTCAAAGAAGCCTTCCGTCAAATCCCGGTTGATTCGTCTCGGGCATCGGTTTTTGGGTACACGATCGGAGATCACGCGGTTGTTGACCTACGGTGTCAATTTGGATGGCGGTCGAGCCCAGGGTTTTGGTCCTTGTTCTCGTCCGCCTTGGAACACTCACACACACACACACTACATTTCAGGAAGCGTCCGTTTCTCCCGCCGGTGCTGCGGCTGTGCAGCATGTTCAAGTAGTGTCCTCACCAGACGAAAGTACAGCGATGCCGCTACCTGCTGATTGCCAGACTATTGTGGGTGACGGGGCGTTTGCTGGTTCTCCGTTTTTCGTGCAATACTACGTTGATGATGGTGTGTTGATTGAAGGGCGATTTTCGCTGATGGTCGCCGATGTCTGCGCGCGGTGCGTTCTCTCGCTACGGATCACTTTCGTCTGCTGGGAGAGAGAGGCCCAGCAGACCCGCCGTTCTTGTCACGAGGAAAGATCACCGATTTCGCTACCCGTCTGGATGTGTTGGGTTGGACATTGGACACTCAGCAACTCACGATTACTATGACCGACACGAAACAGAAACTGGGACGCATTTTGGCTGCGTGGCCCGCGACGCGGAAAGTCGCTACAGCTCGTCAAGTAGCCGAGTTAACAGGGCTTCCCATGCACGTTTCGTTCGTGTTGCGGCCAGGAAAAAAAATTGTGGGGCGCCTTTTGTCCGCGGTAGGGATGCCTGCTTTGTCTGCTTTCGCGTCACAAGTGCCGAGCCCGAACAGACGGGTAGTGCTGGGTCCAGTACCCCACGATGACCTCGAATTTTGGCGGTGGTTCCACGGGCGTGGTCTCTCGTTGCGCAGCGGAAGTTTGTGTGCACCCATGTACAACATTTTGTAACGTCCACCCACACTATCCGTGTTCACCGATGCCTCTAAGCAAGCAATTGGAGGGTATTGTTTGCAACGGGCCGCTACTTGCGGTATGATCTGTCTGTGGAAGAGCAAGCTTGCTTTGTGGGGTCGAGCAAATCGGTCCAGGGGGTCAATGGTGTCCGCATTAACGTGCTAGAGCTCCTTGGCATGGTCATGGGGGCGAGGGTGTTGGTATTGGGTCAAAGTCACCAGCCTGTGGAGGCGGGTGATTGTGTGCGACTGCGAGGAGACAACGAAACAGCGACGGCGGGGATTGAGCGTTGTCGGGGGGGCAATGAGCCTCGATCGGGGGCGCTGGTGCGTCTACTGGGGGCGCTTGAGGTAGTCAGCGGGTGGCATTCCACGCGACCAATGTTCCCAGCGTACTCGCTTGCTGATGGTATCTCACGTTGGAATACTAACGATGTTCATGATGACCTGTACGCTGCCGTGGCGTGGCAGATCGTGGAGTTAGGCCCGAATATGCGCGAGTTGTGCTCCACCGTGCTGGCTTCGAGCTCGTCCGGCACGCACTTGCGCGGTCGTCTGAACGAACTTACCTGGTATTTTTTGGAACGTGGGTGAAGTTTCGAGAGGACGTCGTGGGGAGACCGGCGTTTATGGTGCCGTCGTCTCCATCGCCGGACATTGTTTCGCAATTGTAGGAGTACGTTGCGTAGGCGTTCGGTGTTGGGCTTGAGGCAGACGACGATAGCTGGTCACTTGTCTGCTGCTAAATTATTTTCCACCGCTTGTCGTATGCGATGGAAGTGGATACATGCCATTTTGATTGAGCAGGCGCTCAAAGGGGTGGCGCGAGGGCATGCGGGTGTAGGTGTGCAGCAACGGGTGCGACGTCCGGTTTCGTGGTCGGTGCTGGAGGAAGGAGGGCGTCTGGTGCCACAGTGGGGCACGGGTGGGCGCGTGTTGTTTCTGGCGCTGAGTGCGTCATTTTTTTTTCTTGATGCGGGCATGTGAAATGTTTGCTGGGTCCTCGGTGGTCATGGATTCTTGTCATGGGTTGCGTCGGGGGGACGTGGCGTTTTTTCTGGATTCCCACCAGCTGCCTCATGAACGGAGGGGAGAGGCCGACAGAGTCGAGGTGCGGTTTCGATCGTCGAAAGGCGACCAGTTTCGGAAGGGTGCCGTGTGTACGCGGGCGAGGCCGGGGCCTCCCCAGTCTGTGGAGTGTGGGGGGGGAGCAGTCGATGTGATGATTGAACTCCTGTCATGCCACCCTTTCCTCCCACCGTTTATTCCGTTGGTCGCGTTCGGAACCGGGGAGGGGCGATGGTCCGTGTGGACTCGTCGTCACGC